GAGAGAGAGAGAGAGAGAGAGAGAGAGAGAGAGAGAGAGAGAGAGAGCATCAGTCAGTTGCCCCCACCGTGAATGCATCACCTGTCATATTTGTCATTGCGAGCGAAACCGCAACAGGTCATCTAGTAACTTTGGGTAATGCAGAATCTGAAATCACCCCTTTAATGAATAGTAAATTCAGTTATTACTAATCGCATCTTTGCTGTGGCTGGCAGCTATAATACTATGGAAACTGCTAATAGTCACAGAACAGCTTGGATTGCAGGCTGAGTGTTTCCGATACACCCGTGATTAGGGCCACTCGTGTGAACAGCCAGCCTGGATGGTAGGCTGATCAAAATTTTGTTTGATCGGCATCTGGTCTGGGCCGTCCTTTGCACGAGTCTAGACTCTCTTCTCACCCGGAATTACTGTTTTTTTTGTTAGTTCTATCCATCTCCAGGGACCCAAGGACTTGAAAAATCAAAATAACGAAATTATTCAGTTGTTTCAATAGGCTTGGAAATCACACGTTCCTCTGACTCATCGTATCGTACTTCCACACATCCACGTAAGCGAAAGTCTTTTCGTAACGGATGACCCTCAAAACCATAATCTGTTAATATACGACGTAAATCAGGATGGTTGGCGCCTTTCCCAAATGCGAATCGAGCTTGTTGCAGGGTAATTTATGTTCCACTAACCAGGAGTATCCTCTGACCCCCTCTACGTACTGACTCATGCTGGTCGGGTTACTGTTTTACATTGGCTCTTCCGAATCTTGTACCTCCATTCTTCAATGTAGCTTCCTGATTGCTTTATGCGAAATGCAACTCCTTGTTGATCCGCTATCTACAAATGTATTTATTCTGACTCTACTGGCTTTTGTATCTTCTATAACTAGTGATGCGGTCTCCTCCTTTGTCTCAGTCCAGGCTTAAGCCTTAATTGTATTCTGGTGAAGACGGTAGTAGTGTGTGCGCAGAGGAGACTTCCGCTTCCCACTCGCAGGCCATACAGGCAAAAGTCGGCTCAACCACACACTCACATAGTGGTGCAAAGACCGCTTGTTGCACGGTGTCCATAGTGGTGCGCAAAGATCGCTTGTTGTACTGATCCTTCGTTGATGGCTTCACGGGAACCGCTTATGGAGACCGTACAACGAGCGTTCTTTGCACCACTATGTGAGTGTGTGGTTGAGCCGACTTTTGCCTGAATGGCCTGCGAGTGGGAAGCCGAAGTCTCCTTTGTGCACACACTGCTACCGTCTTCACCCCAATAGAACGCTTGGTCATTATCATTGCATCCGGATTGAAAGTTGGGGCAAATGCAGCTATAATGACCGGGCGTTCTATTCAGGTGAAGACGGTAGTTGCATTACGGCCCCAGTAGAATGGGCTGAAACTTGTTTTGGCCATTCCGTTGCGTTGGCTGCGTCTCTGCCGCTGTTGCTTCCCTTCGGGGCAGTAGGGACTGGTGTGCCCCTCTATGCCACACTTGAAGCACTGGTGACCATCTCTAGGTTGTTGCTATCGAGACTTTGACAGGTTCATATGCTTCCAGGGTTCTCCTTGGTCTATCCGTGGGTGCGGTGCGTATGGTATGAGACAATGAGGTGGAAAGTTGCTTTTGCTTCCCTGTTGGTGATATTGCCATCCACCCCTTCGCTTCAGTGGATACTGCTAGCCGCCACCTCCGTTCTGTGGTAAGAATCTCCCTCGACCACCTACTTGTTCTTGTCCTTGCTTATGGGCTGTGGCTGTGGTGTACTCCCCTCCCTGGTATCTGCTCTTGCAAGCTATCTCGTCCTCCTCATAGGGCAGTCGCTTGCCGTCCACATCTCCCCTTTCTTCAAATAGACTAGATGGGAAGATGAACCTGCTCCTGACGGGTTGCTATGTCTCATCGCTGGTTCGGGCTAATGTGTATCCTCATCGCCTCGTGCATGACCTTTGGCTATCTGTCGCTGGGCTTGCTCATCTCTCGCTGCATGCCTTAGGTGCTGTGCAGTTGATCCATCTTCTGGGCAAGGGCATCTGCATTACGCTATTGTGCACGGTGTATGCTTTTAATCTCTTCCCTTCCCTTAATCCCCTTGTTCTTATCCCTGAAAACCGAATAATCCTTTAAACCACCAGTACACTGCATGCCAAGCTTTTCCAAGCTGCTGGCGGCATACTTATTTTCTTTTTTGGCCGGTGCTGCCAGCCAATGTGGTCGGTTGGGCCCGAGGCACAAAACTTTCAGAGTGAATGACAACGGAATCTTCACGTTTGGGGCCATGTACTAGCGGTTTAAACCACAACTACCGTTCACGAGCTAACTTGAAACACATACACCGCGTTCTTTGGGCGAACAGTGCTACCGGACTGAAATGGCTGGTGGCGCCAGCCAGAAGGGAAAACAAAAGTTGCGCTGGCGATTCAGCAAAGCTTGGCGCGCGTGAAGTTCTTTTCTGCCTCAACAAGAAGAGGCTCGGAGGTAGTGGTGGTTTAAGAATGTCATCCAGGGTCGTGGTCTTGCAATAGCTGTCGATTGTGGATTTGTATCCAGTGGCATGCACGTGTCTCATTACCCATGCCTTCGCATCATCCTTCAGGCTGGTCTATCATCGCCTGGTGTTCAACAGGTATGCGCTCCACATGAATATAGGTTGTAATTCCGGCCACCTACATGAGAATATATTTCTCCTTCTTTTCTAGAGTATTCATTGAGTA